CTATGAGACGAGTTTCGTCAAAGTGAGGGACACCGGGCTGGATGAGCCACTAATTGTGCGTAAAAAGTCCAATGTGAAAGGTCAGAGTGGTCACGAAACGCCATGTAGACGTGACGATTGAGCTTTAGTTGTCCATTGGAGAAAAAAATACGAAAGAATTTCTGTCCCGAATTTATCAGAACTGGTCAGCGATTAGCGGTGGAGCGCACACGGTCAAGGTCATGCGGCCAGAGCGAACAAATTACTCGCGCAATCAGAGCGACCAGATCGCTCGCGCTATCAGCGTTTGCGCGAGCAAACCGAAGGTATGGACACAAACTAAGCTAATTGGGTGCTTTGTAAAAATTAACCGTCCTAGGCAATTTTTTGAGCGGTAAACGAGTACATGTCCATCAAAACAAGTTCAAAAGCAATTGAAATTATGGGGATGTGTCAGTCTATTAGAAGAGTTTCAAAGAATTACTGGTCAAAAGAAAGTAAACAATAAACAATGTCATCCGCTTACCTGGCAAAGATCGAGCGCGGCGATCGTGTCACGTTTGTCGAGATCGTTGAGGGTATTCTGATCGGGTCTCAGGATCACATCTTCGACAGCTCGCTTTAGATCGCCGATTCGCATGCTGCTGCCGTTGCAGTACGACGACCGTGGCGACGCCACTGTGCCGGCCAGTAGTTGCTGTTCGCGCCACTCGGCGCCGGACCAACAAATCTCGATCGGTTCGAAGGTACGGCGGCTAATTGGCGCCAGATTGTGGTAGAGTGATGGGACCTGTGCCGAGTTGCTCCCTGTAAATCAAGGTTATTTAGAACAGCCATTATTCACGGAGAGCGAGATGATACGGTGAAAATCGATTATCGGTCAATTAACGTAAAAAAAATCAGCGATCAACAATCGAACGAGGATGGAAATAAGTAGAGATATTGATCACCAGATAAAGATTTCTATACATCAAGACAAATTCGCGGAACAGGTCGAAAGAAAACGAGTAATATTACACAAGGAGAAAGTCGGGACAAAAGTCAAGTCAGCTAAGGAGGAGGGTTGCGTTAAAAACAATCTCGCAAAATTCTGCAAAATTGAGATTACCGTAATTAGTGACATCGTTCTGCTCGAAGAAGTCGGCTCAGCAACGTTAAATCTCCTCGAATCAAAGATTGCTCCAGTGAACTAATTTCGTTGACTGTTTACATCTCACTAGGCACTAACGCAGCGAGAGGGAGAGGGTCTGTATAGCATTAGGTCTAGTCGCAGCGAGAGCGACCAAAGAGGCGTTGCAAGCGGGGTGATTTGCGCACCATTCGCACTAAGACCCAATCTAGACAAGGTGGTTCGGAGGTGACGCTATGCGGGTGTGACATGACAACTGTAAAACCGCGCTGGTGGCGTGTATAACAACGCGCCGTCCGTCAAACGAGTAGTCCTGCCTCGGCTAGCCGTGTGATTAGGAGAACAAGGCGAAGTCTGATATTCGCTTGAGAATGGAAACTTGCCTCTGGCACTGAATTTCAAAACTGAGTTGTTGCTCCAATCGAAAACTGACCTCGATCGGATTTGCCCGCGCATTGGGTCGTAACGATAGCCTCTCACGAACGACACGACAAATTACGGTTGTCTTGGCCGTCTCCCACGCTACGTCTCCTTTGCTACGTCTCCTTTAGTTCGGGCACATCTCTGTGTCCCTTTTCCTATACGAGGACTAGTTCAGAGCAGAGCGACCAGCGGCCTCATGGGATGGCCTTCGCAGAGATGAGACAATCTTACAAATAAGCCCGACTCTAAATGGCGAAAAGATCACGCAGAGCGCTTGCTGAGTGGTACCCTCCCCTTTACCTCTACTAGCAATTATACTTCTAATTGTAAGTCAGCTTCCATCTCCATTAGAAAAACTCTTTTTGCGCCAGAAGTAATTTGAATGCCCCCTCCCACCCTCCTTAGTCGACTTGGCGCCATTGGGACAGTCTAGTACAGCAACAGTCAATACAACATGATAACTTTTGCCCAAAGTCAAGGATGGAAGGAGCTCCCGGATGAACTCATGGTAACACCAGTTTTCCCTCAAAGAGTGATTCAAATCCCAGTTTTCCTCAAAGAGTGCTTGAAATGCTTCGTCTCATTGGAGTAGTGCGAGACCGCAATAGAGGGCACATCATTGGTTGGGGATTTCAGCCAAGTCCACGCAATCCCCCCCCCTAGAGGCGGTTAACAGGACCATCCCCCCTGGTTCCCTCTCCAGGAAAAACCGCGAAAAATCAAGAACCGGGGTGAAATTTTTCCTAACGCCGCAAATTTTTCGTGGAAGGCAAATACGACCACATCCTTCCCAACAACGAACAAATACGACCCCCTCCCCCTTACAGCGTCCGTGGAACAAGGAAAACAAACTATCGAAAAAACTTCTCAGACCAACTACGATCCCCCTTCCCTCCTCCCTTAGCGGCGAAATACGACCCCCCCCCTGTTGGGGATTCCCCAACGATTATATTCTGTGCTGCAAGAAACGCGTGGGAAGAGTGAGAGCGCAAAGTGATCGATCACAATGAACCCTTGGCGCCAATCATTAAACGTTAGTCACCTGATAAATATCAAATCATAGCGCCTGACGACTGCCGTCTCCGCCGGAACGCCCCCAACCACTGCAATCAGCTGATAAGCGCTTCCCGCCATATCGCAACGTTTTTTACGATGACCAAAAATAATTGCCATGAACATTTGCGATTGGCGAACAAAGCCCGAGCTAATGGAAGGGGGAGGTTGCCTACCCGGGTTTGCTAGTTTGGCTGAGGCTTTGTTATTCTTATGAGAGTTTCCTCTTAAAACTAACAAAAAACAGTAAGGCCACCGCTTGCCCGTGGGAACAGAACGCGACACCGAAAATGAGTAATGTAACCCACGTGGTGCAGTCAGTTTGGCGCCACAAGAAAGTGATAGAAAAACATGGGAGCTAAAGTCGAGTGATACAC